ACTCTTTACTATTTTATCGAGACTGGACATTGCTCTCCTCCCAAGAAGTAAGCGTCTTCTGATTTCCTGGCCACAGTCTGCATCTGCAGTAATCTTTGCACCTAGAAATACAAAGTCTGTCACGGCCTCCACAATTTCTCCCTCTATTTTCCAGTTGTCAATCATTCTTGTTGCCATAATCTTGGTTTTTTTGATGTTTAGCTGCAACCCGGCTTTTGCGCTTTCTTCTTTCACCTTGATTAGAAGGCTCCTCAGCTCCTCCTCGCTTTCGGCCATCAGAGTTGTGTCATCTGCATATCTGAGGTTGTTAATGTTTCTTCCAGCAATTTTCACCCCAGCTTTGCATTCATCCAGCCCCGCACATCGCATGATGTGTTCTGCATATACGTTAAAAAGGTTGGGTGAGAGTATGCAGCCTTGCTGTACGCCTTTCCCAATCTTGAACCATATGTGTTCATATTCTGTAGTAATACTGATTTTGCTATGTTTTTTCCCAACACAGGACCACAGTGATGACTTGGAAGGGTTCTCCTCTTCTATAACCAGAAATTGGTTAAGTCCAAAGTCTCAACACCCTGCTGGATTCAAAACACTTTCTCAGCAAATTGCAGAGCCAACATCTGTAGGGAATTCTAGCCTGCACCATGATGTCAGGCAGCAGCTGTCCTGAAGGAGACCTTTGCTGACAGGACCCTGATGGCAAATGAGGAACGCTGCAGGGGAACAAGTCTCTCCGACTCATTTTGTAATCCTCTCTCGGTCTCTCCCAGCTGACAGACCTGACACCTCATACAAACCGGAGAATTAACTGTGGTAGTAAAATTATGGAACCAGAGTCCCATAAAAGCTGTAACAAGCATTGGATTTCGAAATTCTGTGGGTTACTTGCCTCAAACCAAGGGAGTCATAAAAGGTTGCTTTAAAAAAAAATCAGCTTTTCTATATATTTACAGAACTATTTCTTAAACATTTCAGGCCAAAGAGGCTGTTGCTTTTTGCTTGTTTCCTTTTCATTCTCATGATGTACAGCATCTGTTAAATAAATTAATGTTTCTAAAATGTGGGAAAACAGAAAGAAAATGAGCAGGGTTTCTTTCTATCCATAAAAACACACGCCTATGCATACACTGTGGGTTTCTGTATACAAAATGGCTGCACCTTTTTCTTTTCATACATTCCTTCAATGGGAAAGATGAAAGATGATGGGTCATGTATTTGTGTCCATTGCTATCACAGCTAAAAAGTCAAAAAAAAAAACCCCTTTCTGGTGCATTTTTTTTTCTTCTGCTGAGGAATCCAAGTGGAAAATACTGCTCAAGAGACTGTTGTGTTAATCTGTCAGTTCAGCAAACCAGGAAGGAGTCCTAAGGAACGTAAATGAATAAACTTTTGTGAAAAGGAGTGCATCTGATATCGGGTGAAGGGGACTCTTATGATTTATCTTCAAATAATTTCTAACTTATGGTGACCATTAAGAAACCTATCCTGAAGTTTTCTTGGCAAGACCTTTTCAGAGGGGGTTCGTCTTTGTCATACTCTAATATCCAAAGTACTACACCATGCTGGCTCAGTCCATGAAAACTTATGCCATAATATAAAAGGGTCGCTTGCTTTTGCCATAAGGAAATGATTACCCTGGCATGGAACATCTACAAGGCTTTGGCACACCTACAAGGCTTTGGCACACAAGATTCAAAAGCAAGATATAATTTCTGATCCAAGAAAACAGCTGGCAGTCATCTGACATTTCCCTTTTTTATGGCTAAGCAGGTCTGAATCAGGATAGTATGTGGAAACTCCAGAGAAGCTGTTGGGGCAGAAAAGCACAGAGCAAACTGCAGTCCTAGCGCTGGCTTGTTCTATATATAAAAAATCATCAGCATGCAATTAATTGAGACCACTGGCATTATTTGTCCCTCTTATGGTGCCCTGGAAGAGGGGAGAATAAAGTGGAAAGGCAGCAGCAGAAAAAGGGAAGAGAAAGAGATGTGAAGGATAAGATGTGACAGGTCCAGGCGGGTTTTTAACACTGTGGAATAGCATCTTACTTTCCTGGTTTTGTTTTCCTAGACATAAGGGCATTTCTTGTTTTTATACTCTTCCCTGGCACTTGCTTCATATATAGGTATTTTCCAGTATATTTCATTCATATTCACCACCCAGGAGTGATATTTGAACCCCTTTCCCCACATGCATTGTGGCTGATCCATAGTGTGGATGTTCTCCCCCATGGTCATCAAAGGAATGCATTGTATGCATGAGTGTTCCTAAATTAACTGCCTTCTCCTTGTACTTCTGTCTTCCCTTTTCTTCTCTCCCTCCCCTCCCCCCACCTCATTTTAATGCAACCATGTTGATGTGCTAGTACAGTGGTTCTCAACCTTTCTAATGCCGTGACCTCTAAATACAGTTCCTCATGTTGTGGTGACTCCCAACCATATTTTTGTTGCTACGTCATAACTGTACTGTTATGAACTGTAATGTAAACATCTGATATGCAGGATGTATTTCCAATGTTACAAATTGAACATAATTAAAGCATAGTGATTAATGATAAAAACAATATGTTTAGAGGAGTATGGACAATGGATGATGGGATCTGCAGTACCTTCAACTGATGCAGCTCTGAATTCCACAGACCACTGAGACCCCAAATTCCAGACCTGGGCCAAATTTGGCAGACAAAACTCCAATGACCACTAGAAAATAATGGAGGGGGTTGGGAGGAATTGACAGCTTGGTGGGGACGAGGGTTGAGAGGCGAAAGCCTCCCCGGATGGCCTGGCCATGCAAAGAGCCTTGCGTTCGACCCTCACCCCTTCCGAGCTCAGCGGGGGTGAAGGCCGAGGGGCGAAGGCTCAGATGGCCTCGCCATGCAAGGAGCCTTGCGCTCGACCCTCCCCCCTTCCGAGCTTGGTGGGGGGGCAAGGGCTGAGCAGCGTGCTTTCTCACGTGCACACCTTTGCCTCCAAGCTCCTCCTCCTACTGACTCCCTGCAGCCCAGTAGGAAGAGGAGGAAGAGCCAACCAGGACCACTAGACTGTTTTGCTTGCATGGGGGCTGGCAGCCATGTTGAAGATGCAGTGCTGTCGGGGCCAACCGAGGCAACTTCATGACCCCCGGAAAATGGTCTAGCGACCCCCCTGGGGGTTGTGACCCCCAGGTTGAGAACCGCTGTTCTAGTACAATTCTGAGAGAAAGAAAAGAAAAAAAGAGAAAGAACCCAAAGAGAAAGGAAAGATGCATGCAACTAGGCATGTATTTTTATTGTGCCTTCCAGTTTCACTGCCCGCTCTTTTTTCTCTTTTTATTCCCTTTCCCCTCCAGCATTGTGGGACATCACCAAACAAACAAACAAAATAAAAAAAACTAGTGGGAAGGGCAATAGCAGGTTCTGTTTACACCAGTGCCCTAACAGTCTGTGGCTCTCTCTCTCTCTCTCTCTGCAAGACCACTGGTATTTTCCATAGTCTCTCAGTTCAGCATAGATTTACAACAAACAATAATACTTCTTTAGAATTATTTTAAGGGAAAAAAACTCTGTGAAGGAAAATTGCTATAGTGTAGAAACTCCCAAAACAAATTCTAACAGTTATTCTGCTATTAAAATAAAAATTACAGAATGTAGACAGGCTCTTTTGGAATCACCTATCATGGCATTTAGTATATCATAAAGCTGATCTTAATTCTCAAAGTACCTTTTTAGCTTCTGCTGTGCCATCTTTAAACCTGATCGAGTGACATTAGTCCTAATAGACTCAGGGATTTGCACAAATCTGCTCTTCACACACACAAACACACTCACACATTTCAGGAAAAAAATCTCAGGGAAGACTTCTTTAAAAACATCGCAGCAGCTACTCAAAAGCAGTATTCATGGTGCATGGATTACTTCCTACTGGCCAGGAACAATCCCAAATATGTTGCTACCTGCTCCCAGGAAGTTGTGGTATATGTTGCTATAGTTCTTAAGAGTTTTAAAAATATTCTAATTATTTCTGTTGTTCTATAATTCTTTCTATCAGTTTCTAGCACCAGCTGCAATATTGTTATTTGCACCTTTAAGTTGGATTCCATTTAATTGGAGAATGTATCTGATCAATGTATTTCCTTTCTTTTTTCAGAGCTATAATGCTATTGTGCATCAGTAATATGATGCACAATAACTAAAAAGCTGTTAAAGTTCAAAAAGCAGGAAACTTTTCATGTGAACAACAGGAAAACCTCAGCATGTCTTACACCAGTTTTTAAAAAAGCTTTGGAAGAACCCGCGTGCAAATCCAAAAAGAAGCTACAAACAACTTTGCTAAAGAATAGAATTCTGTAAGTGGATGAGAAAGTGACAGCAGCCAGCAGGTCCTGGCAAAAATGAACGGAATTATATCCCAATAATTCCAACTTTTTTAGCTCAATCTGGAAGAATTCGAGAGAGGGTAATAAATGCCCCATCAAAGTATTCATTGTTATTGTTGCTGCTTTATGTTTTGCTTTTGAGGGAGCATCTGACGCAGAGCATCTGTAACTGCATCTGCCTGGCAGAAAAATACAACAATAATACATTAAATAAATAACATTTTTCTGCCCTTCCATGTCAGCCAAAATGTGTTCCCTGAGGTATTGACTCATTTTCAGTAATTGCAATGCTTACCTTCAGAAGCTTAGAAGAATGGGAAAAGACTACATTGCTAAACAGAAACCCATGGTGTAATATTTTGTTCCTGAACCCACTCATAAGAATATATATTTCTAAGTTCTGTTGTAGTGTTTCTTCAGGATAGTGGCTTTGGATAGCTTTTCTCTGCCCAGTGCTCCCCAGTACTCTCATCTAACCTTTCCACAGCCACAATAACAGCCCCACTGCCCATAGTAACCAATGTATGAAATGTCCATTGGACTCCAAAAGAACAGCATATGATATATTAACCGCAACAGCTTCAACACATCAAGGACTTTAAGAAACAGGAGATCTTTGCTCACTTTTGATGTACTGTTATAATTACCTGAAGTCCAAAAAAGGCCAACACAATGGAGTTAATTGTACCCAATGTGCCTTCAGGATCAAAGGGCTGAATTGTTTTGTACATCTCCTGGTAAGAAAAGAACACATTGCTCAAATTACAGATCTGACGCAACACACAACCTCCCAGGAGACAGTATAGTGGGTCACAGAATAAATATGGGCCACATAAGACCATGTGGCATACATTCAGATTGTGTCGCTGTCTTACAGATACACATCTGTGTTGTCCTGCACCAAACACAGTCATTAGCACAAGAATCTCAGAGCCAGTCAGTTCATTTATTTATCTAACCTATGCCAAAAAACAGCAATATGTTTTCTAACAAAATTCTCCGATCTTTAACAAGGGCATACAAATCTTTTCTCAGTAGTGATTACAGAAACGTTGACGTATATAATTAGTAATAGATGTTTTCATCTTAATTTTAAGGTACATCAAAAATAACATCAACAGGACCTGTAATACAAATTGTTATACAGTGGTTAAGAAAAAATGACCTTTAGGAAGGAGATATTTAGATGCCAAGAAGCATACTGGAATAAAGAAATGGCCTGGTTAAAACACAGGAACTTGAGCATTTTCTAACTTACAAGAATAGAGAACAGTAATCACGAGATCTTGTCATCTCTTAAATACAAGGCAAATTCAGGGGTAGTACACAATTCTCTTACTCCAGCTTCGATCCAGGTTATCTGAAAAAACTGTATCTATTTCTATAAACCAGTTAGACATCTATGATCAACTGGGGAGGGCCCTCTCTCTGTCCCACAACCCATTCAAATGTGTTTGGTAGGGCCTTTTTGATGGCTGCTCACAGACTCCCTCCCAGGACAGACCAGGATGGCCCCATCCCAGCTTGCCTTCCACGGGCAACCTTTCTCTGCCAGAAGGCATTTGGAGAAGGGGCATGCTGCTGGGGAAGTGTGGGTGGGATGTGTATGTGAGTGTGTGTGAATTTTAAATGCTATTTTAAGTGTCTATATTATATTATTTAACTGTATTTTAACCTAAATCCACATTTATTATTTTTTTTAATTTTTGTAGTCACTTTGTTTTAAATTGTGTGTGACTGTTAGCCACCCTGAGTCTCCATGAGAAGAAAGGTGGAGTATAAAAAAAGTAAATAAATACATGCATAAAATAAAACAAACTCTTAAAAACCCTGATCAAAAGAGAGCAAATGGATGTGAACTTCTTTCTACGACTGAATATAGTGTGCAAGTATGTGCACACGTGGACATCTGCAGGTGTGTTTTTTTCTGTTTACTTTTTGCTGTTTTATGTCTTTTCAAAATGTTTCCTACCTATAGAGATCCCAAGGTGAACCTATTACAGGGTTTTCTTAGCAAGATTTGTTCAGATTTTTCATTGCGTGTCTCTGATTCTGAAATTGTGCCACATGCACAAGGCTCAGTTGGTTTCATGGCTGAGTGGAGATTCAAACCATGGTTTCCAAGGTCATAACCCAACACATAAACCTCTACACCACATTGGTACCTTGGTCAAGCATATAGAAAATGTTTCTGTGTCTTTCGTCAACAAGCAAATGTATGATTTGTTGTTGATATATATGCTATCAAATCTGTTTCGATTTATGGTGACTCAAAACTTGTAAAAAATATCTAATTGTACTAGTAGTAGTAGTAGTAGTAGTAGTTAATTTAATGTTAGATCATAGGTCTTTCACGTACAGGACAAACAAATAAATACATAAAAACCGGATTATTAAATGCAATACGAAATGCATCATTAAAATACTACATAAACCATTAACCTGCTACATAAACATAGACAGCCACACTATTATCAGGCAAAGGAATCCCAGCTTTATTGTATTGTCCAATGTGTCACATGATAGATTCAAAATATGACAGCCTCAGTTTAGTTGTTTTACAGTTTAGTAAGGGTTCTGCCCTAATTTGCTTTAGGGGCCATTTATCTGTCTTTTGATGATCTATTATTATCTGTGACACTGCTTTCCTCCAATACTGCATTTCAAATTAGTCTATCTTTTTTTCCCTAACAGCTTTCTTTACTTTCCAGCTTTTTTCATCTATACATAGAATTCAGAAACACTGCAGCATGAATGATCTTAACTTTGACATCCAAAGGTGTAGCTTTACACTTAAAGATCTTACCTAGTTCCCTTATAACTATCCTTCCAAGTGTGAGTCCCCTTCTGATTTCTTGCCTATGCCTTTCACTTTGACAGTTTAAAAAAATCTGTTTGCCAACAACTCATGTGCCTGGAATGCTGGAGGATAAAGATAAGTGACTGGTTGAGTACTTGCTGATGTCATAAAAGTTACTGGTCACAGATGCCTCAGTATTGTAGCCATAGCAATACTACTTGTAAGGTATGAGCTTGATACTTGTGACCAGTTGTCTCAAGGCAGCCTGTTTCCAGACTTTGGGAAGAAAGGTAGCAACTATTTAGGAGCATCTGGAATATCCAATCATACAATGAATGAATATTACAATACACATATTAAGATCTTATCTGTGGGACATGACAAAATTTAGTTTGTTACTCCTCTGCAGATGATGACTACATATGTTTTGCTGCTAGAGGTGCTGAGAGTATATTTATTTTATTCTTGTTACTGTGTCCCTTTGATTATTTCCAGACTGTGGTGATCCTAAGGAGAACCTACGACAAGGTTTTCTTAGCTAGCTTTGTTTGGAGGGGGATTATCTTTGTTTTCCTTTGATGCCAAAAGAGTGTGACTTGTCCAAGGTCACTGAAAGAGCTTCCATAGCCAAGGAGAGATTCTTTTTTCTAGAGCAGGGGTCCTCAAACTAAGGCCCGGGGGCTGGATACGGCTCTCCAAGGTCATTTACCCGGCCCTCACTCAGGATCAACCTAAATCTGAAACGACTTGAAAGCACACAACAAAATCAACAATCCTATCTCATCAGCCAAAAGCAGGCCTACACTTCCCATTGAAATACTAATAAGTTTATATTTGTTGAAATTGTTCTTCTTTTTAATTATTGTATTGTTTTTAAGTGTTTTTTGCACTACAAATAAAATATGTGCAGTGTGCTTAGGAATTCTTTTTTTTCTTTTCAAATTATAATCCAGCATTCCAACAGTTTGAGGGACTGTGACCTGGCCCTCTGTTTAAAAAGTTTGAGGACCCCTGCTCTAGAGTCATAATCCAATGTTCAGAGCATTGCACTCTGCTGGCTCTCTTAATGTATAGTAAAGGTTTCCCTTGGCATTGAGTCTAGCCATGTCTGGGGAGTGGTACTCATTTCCATTTCTAAGCCAAAGAGCCGGCATTATGCATAGACGCCTCCTAGGTAATTTGGCTGCCATGACTACATGGAGCGTCGTTACCTTCCTGCTGAAGCGATATCTATTGATCTATTCACATTTGCACATATTCGAGCTGCTAGGTTGGCAGAAGCTGGGGCTCACAGCGGGAGCTCACCCCGCTCCCCAGATGATTTCACTAAAAAGAGCACCTATCCAACTTTATCTGATAATGTTAATATTCTTAGTAGAAGGGGAAAGAAGCATTGGCTGAAATTCATTGATTACATTTAGTAGCTAGGAAGTAAAGAGAACAGGTCCTTCTTCCAAGTCCTCCAGTCTTTACAATTTGAATCAAAACCCAGTAAAAATATATAGCCAATATCAAATCAAAACAGGAACCTGTGACATGAAATGTGCTATATATGCCTAAATATATATTTACCCAAAAAGAAAAAAAGATCTAGTTATAAACAAATGGTTTGTTATGCAAAAGCTTGTGCATGAAATCATCTTTTTTTCCTTTAAAATAATCTCACGCAATTATTTATTGGAAGGGGGGAGATCCAGTTATGACATAACTATTCATAGTGAACTAAATACTGAACATGGAAAAGTGGGTTTATCCAAAAAGGAGTGGTATTGTGCATATTACTATCTCTCCATTTGGCTGTAATCCCTGTTTGGTGAGCAGATGGTGTGCAGATACTCAGAGAAACAGAGCATCTGGCAACATAACCTGACATTTCCTCAGGATACTATAGAAGCTGTCGGTTGTAGTGCAGCTGGCTAATGCAACTGGCTTGGCTCCAGGATATCTGAGAGACTGCCTCCTTCTCTATGAGTTGGCCTATAATGTGTGATCTCCACCAGAGTCCCCGATGTATATCTAATTTTCAGGAAAGGCTAGGTGGGTGAGTATCAAAGATGTGGCCTTTTCTGTAGCAGCACCCCGACTTTTGATTATAAAAATACTGCTGTTCTAGTAACCCTTTGACTGACTTCAATACTTTTTTGGATTTATTTATAATACTATTTAGTTTTGGTCCCTATTTGATTATGATTTTATTATACTCTAGTTTTAAACAGACCAGAAAGGGAAGTTATAGAAACTTGAATAAATGCCAAATTTCTCTCTCAATCAGTAGTGTGCATGAGGTCCTCAGACAAATATGTAATATACCAGCGAGAAGAACTTGATTGGAGATTTACTGCTGCTCAGGATGAGTATGTCTGGATTTGATGGTTTACTGGTCTGACAGAGTACTGTGTAAATTCATCAACATAATTAAGAATTAAATACATTTTTAAAACACTGCAAGTATAATTTGTAATGAATCCATATAACAAAAAAAGTAAACTGCTACAAACATTTTACATTCCATCTGCATGCTGTCCCAATTATAACTTTAAAATTAAACATGCATGCCAATGTCTTCATATACAGTACGGATAGATATGTATATTATTATTTGCTGTACAATAAGATTAGTACACAGCAAACAAGATCACTATGCTGGCTTTTGCACTGGATCACACGTTGGACACTTTCCAGGGGTCTAGGACAGGGGCCCTCAAACTTTTTAAACAGAGGGCCAGGTCACAGTCCCTCACACTGTTAGAGGGTCGGATTATAATTTGAACAAACATGAATGAATCCCTATGCACAGTGCACATATCTTATTTGAAGTGCAAAAATAATACAATAATTAAAATGAAGAAAATTTTAACAAATATAAACTTACTAGTATTTCAATGGGAAGTGTGGGTTTGCTTCTGGCTGATGAGATAGGATTGTTGTTGTGAGCTTTCAAGTCATTTCAGACTTAGGTTGACCTGAGCGAGGGCCAGGTAAATGCCCTTGGACCTCGGGCCTTAATTTGAGAACCCCTGGTCTAGGACTATGTGTTATATCAGCAAATAATGCGTGCAGGTCCACATAACATGGCCTTTTGCAGCTGACAGGTGGTAATTTTGTCAGTGCCAATTGTTTTCAAGTGCTGGCCAAGGCCTTTAGACCCTGAACCCAGTACGCCAATCACCACTGGGACCACATTTACTGGCTTGTGCCAGAGTCTTTGTGGTATTATTACTATTATTATTATTATTATTATTAAGCACACACACAAACATGGAAAACAATATTAGTATGTATTGTCGAAGGCTTTCATGGCTGGAATCACTGGGTTGTTGTAGGTTTTTTCGGGCTATATGGCCATGTTCTAGAGGCATTTTCTCCTGACATTTCGCCTGCATCTATGGCAAGCATCCTCAGAGGTTGTGAGGACCTCACAACCTCTGAGGATGCTTGCCACAGATGCAGGCAAAACGTCAGGAGAGAATGCCTCTAGAAGATGGCCTTATAGCCTGACAAAACCCACAACAACCCAATATTAGTATGTCCAGTGAAGGGGAGAGCCTCATATGTATCTATATCAAACTAGACTCAGAGAGACTTATATGGACCTCTTCACACTAGACTCAAATAAAGAAAACTAGTATGGTGTAATGGATTGAGGACTGAACAAGAAGTACAAGAAACCAGTGTTCGAATCCTCACTTAGCTACAGAAACCCATGAATAACCTTGGGCAAGTCTGAAGTTCTTAGCTTTAAAAAAGGCAACTGCAAAACTTCCTCCAAATAAATCCTGCCAGGAAAATGTAATGAAGAGCCATGATATGTGCAAATTGACTTCAGGGCATATAACAAACAAATGTAAGTGAACATGATCAGCTTATAAATGTTCTATGGATAATAACATTAAAATATTCTGTATTAAAAAGGGGGAAAATAAAATCAAAAGAATGCAAATTAGGGGTTTTAGTCCAACTTCCCAGAGTGCCAAATAGCAAACTTTTCATATTTCCCTATAGATCGGTGAACTTTATGTATCTGAAGCTGTACCAGAGGTTTGTTTCACTGTTCTTAATAAATAGTACCATGCAACAAATCCAAATGACTCTTCCCATTGATTTTTGGGACAACATTGTGCATCCCATAAGCATTCTCCTCCAGTATGGGATATGAAGGAAGCAGAAAATGTAACTAGGAGACCTGCCAGCAAACCATTTTCTGTGGGCTCTAGGCTTCATCCTACATCCTAGCTATCTTTATTCCCACAGTTCTCCCATTCTGTTGATGGTATGAACCCAGCAACAGGATTTTCAGTTTTCCAGAAGCAAAGTGCCCCATCAGGAGGTCTTCCCTTTGAACAATGTATACAAAGGCTTATCATAGACACTCTCAAGGGAAACAAACTAGTGCAGGTTGAGTGTCCCGTATCCAAAACACTTGGAACCTTAGTGTTTGGATTTTTGTTGAATGGAATACCTATATTTGCATATAATGAGATTTCTTTAAGATGGGACTCATCTGAACACAAAATTAATTTATGTTTCATATGTATGCCTTATACAAGTGGCCTGAAAGTAATTTTATATGCAACATTTTAAATAATTTTGTGTACAAAACAAAGTTTGTGTACACTGATCCATTGGAAAACAAAAGTGTCTCTATCTCAGCCACTCATAGATCATTTTGGAGTATTTCGGATTTTGGAATTTCAGATAAGGAATGCTCAACCTGTATCACTATCCTCTTTCTCAAAATTACCTTCTGAAATACCAAATTGCTGCCTAAATCTTCCGTATGAGAAGGAAGGCATGCTATCACCAGTGAGGGATTTTTTAAAATATATAATCAAGGCATCACATTGCTATAAAACTAAATGCTAGTACAATATTAGCAGAGTTAGACATGATAATTTATTTCTGACTTCCAATTTATGTATGAATGGTCCACTCAGCAGCCACTAGCTGTCAAAATTATTTCAACAGGCTCCAGACAACACAAACAAATTTAAATCATGTCATAGTGAAAAGCTAGCTTATTGTGTATGTGTGTGTGTGTGTGTGCGTGTTTTTTTTTTAAGGAAAGGAAGCTCTCAGATAGCTTTTCCGCTCTTCAATGTTTACACTTCCATTAGGGATTTTTAATGTCACATGAAAACATATTTAGCACTGAGTGTGTGCACCAGCTGCAAAACTCTGCTAGTTGATGCCAACTTTTGGGTGAGGCCCAAGAAGTTGCATAGACAGTAAAATAGTGTGTGACACAAAATATACCTTTGGACACTGGACAGCCTTTTGCAAAATTAAAGGAAATATAGCTCAAAATGTCCAAAACTGTAGAAATCCTGTCTAAAAGAAAATCAGTTTTATGAAAATTAAGATTGCTTGTGAACTTAATCCTCGAGATCCTAGCTTTTAAGGCTTATAATAACATCAAGTACTGGAGTTTTCCATCTACCAGCAGTGAAAAGCAGGATTGCTTACTGGTACCACAATATATACTTCAGTTATCTGGCTATACAGTTCTGGCCCAGTTTACCTGTCCTAATGTATTTCCCTTTACGGATGACCAAGGAGGATAAGATCATCCAGGGAGGCCCTGCTCTCAGTCCCACCTCCTTTGCAGTCGCAACTGGTGGGAACGAGAGACAGGGCTTTCTTTGTGGTGGGCCCTTGGCTGTGGAACTCCTTTCCCCAATGAGATTAGATCTGCCCCTCCCTCATGACCTTTCAGAAAAAAAATCAAATCCTGGCTGTGGAATCAAGTGTTTGAACAAAATATGGATCAACTAGGAAGATAATGTTTTTAGTAGACCGCATTGGATTGATCTGGATAACTATTTGAACCAGCAAATTGTTTTTAATTGAATGTTTATAATTGTTTTAAATGTGTTAACTGTAATTATCATTTTTATATGTCCCTCTTCGGAGGTGAGAAGGACGGGATCTAAATGCTCAAAATAAATAAATATATATGGCTAATGCCTGAGGAGCACAGGATGGGAATGGCTGGGCTATTGCATTACTGATGTTCTCACATAAAGGCCAAAGGCAAAACAAGGCAACCACTTACTAGGATTTCAGCCAAAGCAGCTGCTGAGATAATTGATTACCTTACACGTAGGGTGGTGGTACAAGTGGTCTTCTCCAAGCAGCCACTTATCAATGTACCCGGCTGCACCGCCAGTGCAGTTAGGGTATTTTCCATCATCTCCGATTCCCCCAGGGCCCAGGTAACCTCTGTAGAGAGAACACACAATATTAATTGCATCTGTCAGTTTTCCAAGCATTGCAACTGGTCTTATGTTTTGTTACAAGAGAGCAGACTGATCTAAAAACAATTTGTGAGTTTATTTTCAGTCCCCAAATAGCATTGACTACATATGCACTATTAAGTAAAATTATCTTTTTGATCTCGGAAGACCCTCAAAGTTGGAATTCTGGCAACCACCGGGTTTCTATTTGTTTTGTTTTGTTCCTCTGATCTTTCCTTGGAGTGGAATACAATTTTAAAAATGTATTAGAATAAGGCATTCTGAAAACATGCTTCTCTAATTGAGACAAACCATCTGCTGCAAAATCTCTACAAAATGCATCCCAGCTAATTCAACCGTTTGATGTTCCTTTGCTTTCTCGATCTATGAGAAACAATGGAATATGGTATCATGATTACACTACAAAAGTAGTTCTATTGTGTCAATATTTACCGCTCAGATTTAGCTGCGACGACAAATGCGGGTACATATGTTAGCCTTTTCTGACAGTATGTACTCATATTGTAACCCTGAAACTTCATACACCCCCTATCAAGTTGTTAATGCTTATTTTCACATTGGCAGGGCTACAACTGCCCCGCAATGGGCTTCCCATGGACAACTGGCTGGCCAGTACTGGAAGAGATTTTTGGCTTTGGTTTGATCCAGCAGGACTCAGTTGACATTCAAACACAGTTGAGGTTTCATCAGAAGTTAAGTACCCTGCATTTTCCAACAATTGCCATAGATTTGAGGGATTTCCAGTGATTACTTGGGTTGTGTCCTTCAAACAAGGTTACTGCAGGAACCTCATGATCATTGAGTAATATTTGCATTTATCTAGAAGGAGCTTGAACATAAGTTGAGGTTCACAGCTCATTCACCGGATTTCTATGCTGTTACTGTTGAGACTCAGCGTCTGTCTCATGCACCTACTACTAGTAGTAGAAGGAAACGTAGGTTAGAGAATGATGAAGCTCAGCAGCAGCTGAAAAGGATAAGAGACTTGTTTCTAGAGACGACAGATGAGGAGGATTTTGTGGGTTTTACTCGCGAGGAAATGGAGCTGGAAGACTACCGCGGTGTAAAGCGAGTAGCAAGCAGCTCGGATAGTGATGTGGGATCTGTTGTTAAACGCCTTAGAGATGTAGCTGATTGTGGGGAGTTTGACAGCGAAGAGGAAGAGCTGGACTGGACTAAAGTCCAGGAAGTAATGGATGTAATTAACGCTCCCACGTCTAGTGATGAATTCCAGGGTTTTGATAATAACTGGGTTGGAGATAACTCTTTGCAGGATGGAACTCGAAGTGCTGACTGGCAGCAATGGCGTGGTGTGGATTCACCTGAGGAATTGGACCCAGCTGATGGCAGTTCCAGCGACTCGGATGAGATTTAAGCAGCAGCTTGGGGACAGTCTAATCGCAGAGTTCAAGGTGTCGCTTGCCATGTGCCTTGTGTGTAACTCCTGCCCTGAGTTCTTGTTACAGCTTCGTGTCTCCTGATCGTGTGAACAACCCTGCTGGTTCCAGACTCGTGAGTCTTCCCTGTTTTGACCTTCGGATTGCCTGACTACGCCTCTGCTTTATCCTGGAATATTCGTTGGACCGCTCTTCATGCAAACTGTTGTTTGCTGTTCTGTTTGTCTTCAATTCGGACTAAAGTTTCCCTGCTGAAGTTAAGCTGCCTGATTCTGTTTTGAACTGACTTTCCTTTTGTCAGCCGTGGCTGACTGAGACCAGTTTGTTTACATTTCTGCTGACTGCAAGCCTCCTTTGTTTATCTCTGAACTGAAGAGTCTCCTTTTGTTTTGTTAATGGACATTAAACACCTACTTTAACTCCATCGGTGCCGTGTGTGTTGCTGACTGCTCTGGGTCTTGACAGTTACAGATATCAAACTCATTGATTATGCCTGTGTATTCCCCTTCAAAATGTATCTTCATAAGCACATATCATGCTGACCTCATCTTCCAAGAAAAGAAGATAAAGACACATCTCTTACTAGGAGTCATCTCTGGCTTTGTTACAAATAACCTTAATAAAAGGGAAAGCATATGGCCACTGCATTAGCTAATAAAACTGTAACGGTTTGGCAGGAGGTCTGACTGTTTAATCAGTTCTTTGGTTGTGCAGATCTCAACTTTGGACTCATAGAATCATCAAGATGGAAAGTACCATGAAAGAGCATTCAGACAGATCAACAGCCTCTTAAAATGTCATGGCTGTGTCCTCCGAGAAATTGGGTGGTGGCAGTCTATTTTAGCATAAAAAGACATAATCCAGTAGGCAGGAATCCAGTAGCACTGTTGAGACTTACTGGGGGAAAAACATTTCTCACATACATTTTTATGGACTTCAATTTATGCAAGAAGGGGAGACAATGTAGTGTGTGTATATGAAGGATAGACAGATGGACGGACAGACAGACAGACAAACAGACAGATAGATAGAATGTGCAAGCAGGAGAGAGAGAGAAAAGAAGAAGAATGGAAATGCAAATGATATAGGAGTGATAGTGACTTGTAAATAATATGTGGTTGTAAAGATATGTGGTTGTAAAGGATAAAAACACAAAGGCAGCAGCCAGATTTTGCAGAGAAACATGTGTAAAGGGGGTAAAGTCTAATGCACTGATAACGCAGGCATGACGAGAAATCTTTTGTATACTGGAAACCACTGCCTATGGATTAGTATTTGTTGATATATCCTAATTCAGCTCTTTTTCTTTCATCTTTCATTTATTTGCTTGCTCTAGAATTGCTGCTTGAATGTCCTGGAAGGTCAGCAATTGTTTATTGGATACTCCCATTTTGTAATGTCATGGTTATGTCCATTTAGTTCAGCTTGACCCAAATATTGTATACAGCAGGCTCTTGGTATCTGTTGGGGTTTGGTTCCAGGAGCCCCTACAAATAAAAAAAATGTGGATTCTCGAGTCCCCTTATATACAATGGCATAGTAAAATGGTATCCTTTGTATAAAATAGTAAACAACTCTATTTTTAAAATTTAAAAATAAAATGTATAGCTGCATGTGTGCCCCACTTGATTATCCCAAACCATTATATCTGTCTTTCCTTGCAGGTTCCTGACATTCATGCATCACAATTTGTGGGAGTGTGGCATGGGCCCTGGATTTGTGTACCTCCCCCTTTATTGGTGAGGGGCAAGTGTCCTCGTGGCCTAGGGGTGCAGCAGTACCAGTGTTCCAGGCTGGAACTGGTCAGCTCACTGCCAGGGACCGCTACTGTTGTGAAGCAGTATCTGTCAGCATTGGGCTGTCCGATTCTTGATCCATGATCAATGCTTAGCTGCCAACCCAGTTTCTCACTGTAACCAAAAAACAAGTTGTAGTCTTTGGTTATCCCAAACCATTGTATCTGTTTTTTCTTGTGGGTTCCTGGTGGGGGGAGGTTGGTCGCCACTTCCCATACAAATACTTATTATGATTTGTATGCCTTTTGTAATCTTTATACAGTAATTGAGTAGTTAATAAATATTTGTCAATCATTAAATAAATCAGAAACTCTTTAGGCTGGATATTAAACAGACAAACAAAAAATGCAACAACATACCAGTGGCAATTGGAGGGGAGAGAAAATCATGTTGTTGGGCAAAATGAAAGGCTTGTTTGTCTTTTCAAAAGCAAGATTAGACTTTGTTACTTTGATAAGTCTTTGAAGACTTAGTACTTGAAAGGAGTGGGCCTGTGCTGTTTTGTTTGTCATTGTAACAGTTATGTGGCTTTTAAAAAATTATTTTCATTTTAAGGATAGTTTAATTATATTTTTGAACTTTTGTATTTTGTAAATTTTCAGCCATGCCTTTTAAATCAGCTTTTTAAGCTATGTCTTTTGAACCATTTTTTAAACAGACACCTTGAATCTCAAATCAGAAAAAGGGCAGGATATAAAGAAATAATTACACAATCATGTCCACGGCCCTTACAAACATGTCTTTTTTGAATGATCAACTTCATTTCAGTGTAATCAGGTTATTTTACTCAATGTTATTGCTTTGGCAAAATGCCTTATATGCAGTAGGTCTACAAAGATATAGTTCATAATATAATCATCATCCTCATCCTCATCTGGAAAGGGCAAAGGCTTTAAAATAGGATGACAGAGGAAAGGAAAAATGTTACATTGGAGTAATAAGACTAGACCTTGTTTACCAGGATATGATAGGATAGAAAAACAATATCAACTCATTCTTCAAAAAACATAAACCAGCCAGTATTCAAAATAGTCTCTAACTCCTGGTGAGGGACAAAGAGAACCACAAACCCCAGTCTTTGTTTGCAAAAGCTAGATATTTTGTTCACTGCTATAGGAAGATTTCACAAGGTACAGAATGTGCTGTCATTGTGAAAAGGGGTGATGTCTCAAGCCTTCTCACAGTAACCCACTAATATGGATCATTAATACTTAGAGAATGAAGACCCTCTCTACAAAAGACAAAACACTAACAAGAGGTATGAATCCACTTAATTCACTTTGGGTATGACAGGTGTTTCGATTGCTCCCTAAATAAAAATACCCTCAAATGAAATTTTCCTTCAGTTCTTAATTTTTTAGCATTCAACTGGGAATGCTAAAAACACAGAAACACAGTTTAGGTATCCAAAAACATGCAGCAGGCACAATTGTCAAGGGAATGTAAGCACAGTAAATACATCAGTTCTAGATGATAATGATGCCAGTTTCTTGCGCTCTGCAATGCTATACATTTGGGGAATTGGATAAAATTTTAATGGAAGCAAAATTCTTGTTGGGCCAATGACTCCGAACATCATCATATTAGGGATTTTTACCATCCTAGGACACTTGGAGGACACTGGGTGGATAGAGCCTCTTGGATGCCATCAGACGATGCATAGCTACTTCTGGCATGGCTCCATTCTTTCAAAGAGGAGAACAAGGCTAGCGGGGGGGGGGGGGGGGGAGTAATTCCCCCTGTGAGATAGGCAAGTGGATGATGCAGTCATG